AATATGTGGCCTTTCAGTTTACGTATCCATGAAAGAGTAAAAAGTTGTGGTTGGGTGCTGATGAATTGCTTTAAAAATGTTTGTGGTGGTTCTTTGATCACAACAGAGAAACTTAAAAGGACCTACAAAGTCGATAATGAATGGATATAGAGAGATTTATAGAAAATATAATCTTTAGATCTGCTTTACAGGTTCCTTCCAGGAGTGGTAACTAATTAGCAAGTGGTCCTTAGGAATGACCAGAGACAGAAGGCAAAGCAATCATAATCGTCCTCCTGTCACACACAGAATCAGTGATACTGCATACTTTTAGTCAGTAAGAAAACTGGAACTCCTCAAAACGTTCAGCTGAAGACTAACTGAAGAGATATTCCATCATAGGCCATTGGTTTAAGCCGAAATGACAAATTCAGAAGCAACTTTTGCTATGGGTACTTTCTTAAGTAAAGTTATCATGAGAAGCAGGGTTTAATTAAGAGCCTCATATTATTATAATTTTTCATTAATAGCTGCTCCAACTAAGTCCCAAGTCCATAATTACAGAAGAAAAATACAGGGGCCAGGCAGTTAGACCAGACTTGGCAGACAAGGAAAGAATTGCCCATGATCCAGTTTAATGAAATTTAAGGAATATGTGAAATATGATGGAGTAATTATTCATCTTTTTATCTCAGTTAAATATGAAGCCAACAAAAAAGCCTTACATCTGTATATTTAGCAGTGATAGGACTACATAGGGGAAGTGTGTGATATATGGTACCTACCACATTCCTCAAGAAAGATATGGTTTCCATTTTGAGTCAGTTTTAGGTAACCAGCAGTTTTGGTTCCAACTGAAACTAGGATTTCCTATCACTATCAAGTCTCCTTGCCATTCTTATCTTAACATGGTTTACCTTTGAAAATTATACCTGGTTAAAGGCATTGCCAGTATGGAATTGAGCCCCAACCAACATTATTTTAAAATTATAGAGCACAGCTGTCAAACTCGATCATTTTATCATGTTTTTTGCCTTTGCAGAAATGGGGTGGGCGTGGGCTGTGTGCATGATGCATCTAGCCCATGGGCCACCAGTTTGTTATAGATGATGATGAGGATGACGATGACGATGGTGATTTTATAGAGCAGGGGTCTCCAAACCTGGCAACTTTAAGACTTACAGACTTCAAGCTCCCAGAATTCCTCATTCAGCAATGCTGATTGCCAAGTTTGGAGATCCCTGTTATAGAGGGTCATTATACAAACACCTCTTACAAGGTGGAGATATAACATGATTTTTCTCAACATAGGATAGTCATAGATTCTTTTGCCTATTAACTGTATCCTATCCTGGTTGTCTACTTTTCTCTCTAAAGGGGAGAGAATTTCAAATGAATGCTGGGTACTGGCAGAATCCAGGTGTCAGGAGTTGGAGAGTCCTGTCAACTTGCAGATGTTACATTTTCCCAGTTATAAGTAATGATGTGTGTATGTGTGCGTGTTGTTGTTTATTACAGGTGCACACAACATAATATTCAGGCTGAAATCCAACCATTTTAGCAATATGAAAAAGGGCTAACAGTCTATTTAGTATCATCCATGGTATACCTAGTGATTATTTTGTAATTCTCTTTGAATCTTTTTTTTTTTTTTTTGCTTCCTCTCTTTTTTTTCTATCCTTGACAAAGAAACAAAAACAAAATACTGTGGACCCAAGCTATCCTTTTCATTAACCAAAAACAAATACTATATAAAATGTTTCATTTAGGGGACAAGATGGACAGGTCTGAAAATGCAAGTCCAATATATTGGACCAGTATTTTAAACAGAACTGTAATTTAGGAATCTTGGGAACAGGATGTAAGCAAACAAGGGTAAAATATATTATTCATAAACTTGGATTGAGAGAAAAATGAAAGCATGGAATAGACATAAAAGGCAAGTAGCACAGTGGATGGTCATTAATTTAAAATAAGAGACTTTCTTTCCATAAATTTAAGATGATTTCCTGATATTTTAAATCTAGAAGGAAAATTAAAAATAAAATCTCTTTCTCTTCTTTCTTACAATGGTTCTATTATATCTACAATGTTCCGGGAATCCAAAACCTGAAATTAATTTCTCACATCACAATAGTCTATAGCTCCATTTGTAGATGTCCCTTCTCACTTGGCTTTCACCAAGTGGCAAAATTATCGGATTGTTCATTGCACAATATCCAAATCTAATTTGCCTATGTGAAATATATCAATTAATTTTAGCTATCACAGGAATGACATAAGGAGCCTGATCATGGATTTCTTGAGAAAGTTCTACTAGATGTTTCAGTTCAGAGGGGTGTCTGAAGTCAATTCAGTGGAAAGGGAAGACCACACTGGCAACCTGAATGGAAGATGGCATCACACTCATGCACTTTTGTAGTTTTACATGATTGCCAATGATTATTTGGCCTTTTGTCTGATCCACTGTAGATTTTCTATAATGTTCTTATGTAGCCTATCCACAGAAATCTGATTTAATAAACCCTGTGCTTCATTAGAGCTTATAATCTAAATCAAAACCTACACGTGAACTCACCTTTTTCCCAGTTGGCTGTTACAAAACTTCTGAATAAGAAGATTTCCAAAGCATCTCACCCTTTTTTATTATTATTTTTTTTTAAAAAAAAATTTAAAAAAAAATGTAAATTGGTGAGTACTACTTGATAACTAACTACAATTAGAATTATTTTTAAGACAACTGTCAGTTTGAAATAGCAAATACAAAGTGTACTTTAAAAGTAGTACTTTAAATTTTTATCAGATTTAATCAGCGGAGAAACCAGGTTAAAAATCAGCTACTAAATGTCAGCTTGTAGATTGCAGTCAGATGTCAGTGAAAAGAGCTGCAGCATGATAATTGGATTCCCCAACTTAAAATGGAAGATTTTCAAAGATGCAGAATTTCCTCATTACATTTAACACACACAAGATACTAAACAATTAAAATTGTTTAGCAAAATAGCAAAAATAGCAATCTAATGAATGTATTTCTGTTGTTTTCTTATTTGCAGTTTTGATCGATGTCATTTATGCAATCATATCGTAATAATGTACTGTTAGTAGGGATTCTTTTTAAGCACACAAATGCTTGGTATGATAAAATGAATTGAGTACAACAAAATAATCTTCTCTTGTTAGAAGGTCATTTGGGCTAGAAAAGGTTCTTCCCCAACTCTATCCACCCTTTAAAAAAAAAAAAGGCACTACACAATATGATATAGTAGGGTACAATTTTTATATCAGTATCTTCTCTACTCATCTAGGGCCCTAACTATAAGAACTACATTCATTATATAGTAGTATCAAAATGGACCCATCTAAGGTCAATGATGCATTTTTATGATAATGGGAGGGTTTCGGCAGGTTTTCTACCACTGAGCTGATAAACATTCAGTTCAAACACTGCACCAGAAGAAGCATTACAAAAATGGCTTTGCTGTTGCTCTGACCTTAATAAACTTTCTCTTTCTAGATCGGGGTGGGCAATGATGGCCCCTTGTGGATTTCAACTCCCAGAATTCCTGAGCCAGCATGAAACTTTCTACCAGAAAGAAGTGGGGACGAAAGGAGTCGCAGATCAAAAAAAACAAAAACCAAATGTCTCAGCAAAGGCATCATGTTCTTTGCTTGCTTTGGACTTAGTGCATTGTGTGAATCCGTCAGTTGTGTGTCATCAGTCATGCTGGCTTTTTTTACACTAAATCAAAGCAAACTACATTATGGTTAGACCTCTGCAGAGTTTGGAAAACATAGTCGATGAGGGCCAGTTTAGAGAAGGGAAGGATTAATAAAGACCGTGTTTTGAATTCAGTAAAGATTAAAAGGACAGAAATGTGGCAGAGACAAAGTCTGCTCTTTTGCTCTAACATGAGGACATTTTCATACTGTGTCTTTGGGCTTTCCCTCTTACTCTCTGCAGCAATTTTGTGCCATCACAAAGTCTGTGACCTTGGCTGCTGTTTCCTGAAGTCAAGAAAGTAGAGATTACAGCTTAATTCCCCCTTGCTCCCATCCTTATCCTTTCTTCACTGTTTCCTTCTGCAACAATGAAAAATCACTATGTGGATAAATAAAGAAAACTTGTTTTTCTTTTAAAAACGAGGGGAATATTATATCAAGATGCTATGGTATTTTTGCTAGGGGAAAAAAGAAAATGTAAGAGTAGGAGTTTCTGCCATCAGTAACATGCCTATTTTGCATTTAAGAATAAATCCTGTAAAACTGCAAAACAAATAATAATAATCTTCAGGCTTAGCAGCTAACAGGAAGTTAACCATCTCAGCTGCTGAAGATCTCAGCTGCTGACAGCATTGTAGGCACATCTGGATATAGCACTTAATGTATGTAAAAGGGCTATATACAGTGGTGGGATTCAGCTGGTTCGTACCTCTTCGGCAGACCCGGTAGCTAATTTTTTGTTGCCCAGGCCCAGAACGGATTTCCGGAAGCGGCATCCACACAGAGAACCGGTTGTTCACATATTTGAATCCCACCACTGGTTATATATCTATCTAAATTATCTCTTTATATCTCAGTTAGGCATATATTGTATATTATATAGCATTATAACAATGTTTTGGGTGGCATCCAATGTTATTTCTTAATTGCCTGGTGATCTGTACCCTACTCTTATCTTTAGTAACTCTTCTTGTAGTAATTTAGCAGAGAATTCAATGAACCACTTATTTCTACTCTCAAAAGGACAACTAAGATGGCCAGTGATTATGGCTTTTAATACTAGACTTGCAAATTTTCCCCTACAGTCTGTTGAATCTAGACTGATGGTACTGCAATCCTTTATTTGTGTAGATGGCAAGGTTGGGTTTTTTTTCTTCTTCTCATGATGGCTTCATCAAATGACATTTGCAAAGTCAGGTCCTATCCAGATCTGTTTTCCTCCTTCCTTCCCTCCACTCCCCAGACAATTGACAGTCCTTACTTTTCTCTGTCCCAGTTTTCTCCTTATTTATATATCCTACCATTCTCCTTGTAGCCCATTCCCAGGATGACTTCTGGTGCTCTGTAATAACGTGTGACCACGTAGGGTGTCATCATGAAGCTAGTGCCTGCAGTCCTGGCCAGTCCAAAATCCAGGATCTTCAACGTACAGTCTGATTTTACTACAATATTACTTGGTTTTAAATCCTGAAAGAGACACAAGAGAGAGAAAGGAAAAGGTATTAGCCTTACACTCACAATATCACTGATGTTTGTCTATTGTGGGGGAAGAATGTGAAATGAAAGACCCAAGAGGGTCTACAGCTGACTGAAAATTATTCATTGGTGAACAAAGAAAGGTAATAGGTATTTTAGGGGTGGCCAAAAGTTTGATGACCACACAAGAACCTTATTTAACATTTGGGGGGGGGGGGAACTGAGATAATCTATAATGGGCCAATTATGCAACAAAGTGGTTTGTTTTTGTCATAACACCTTATTGGGACCGGGTAGAGGCTCAGGAAGATGACATTGATGGAAATGCAAGATCCATTATTTAGGCAAAATAGGCTGAAACATTTCTTAAAATCTGAGAAATGAGACAATGTTTGAAAGCAGATCAGAGAGATGCCTTCCAGATTCACTGGAATATAAGAAAGGGGTGGAGGTATAGCTCAATGAGATTTGCAAAATTCCTTTTCAGCCAATTTTAAAAATTTAGTTTTAGTCTTCCTGTGGAGTTAATTTCTTGATCTGGTCTCACAGACCAGGATTTTCTCTCACTAATTTTTAAGAGGACTTTTTGTTTTGTTTTTTCCTCCTTTGTTCCTAAAACAATAGGACTTGTATGGAGACTTTTTTTGCATGTTTTCTATCTCAAATGGCAGAAAACCTTGCCACTATAGCAACTACAGTTAGATTTCAGGAATGCAAACAATGAATTTAGGGTTGCATGTGAAACCACCCCTTGGGCTTTGAAATCTACATTGCTGTTCATTCTAGTGTATCTGGCTATGGATCAAAGTACAATAAAAGCTTGAGATGGGCATGCCCACAAATAATGAAGAAGGCACAGGAGGAGCATTCATAATTCTCTGCATTTCATTCTCGCAGGAAAATTGTTCTTACTTTTGTGGAGAGAGAGGCCAGCTTACCCTGTGAATGATTCCTGCAGAGTGAAGGTGCTTGATACCACACAGCATTTGATAGAGCAGGTAAGACATTCGCTCATGATCTAACTCCATTTGAATCACCTGACACAAATTGGCATCCATCAACTCCATTACTAAATAACTAAATAAAAGAACAAAGTCACATCATCATTCCTTGGCATCTATGAGACGATTCCAGTGTGGCATTCCTTTCTACAGCTTCAGCCTTTCACAAATAACTGATACAGCCATCAAACTTTGCCTCATATATTGCTTGACCTAAATTTATTTATTTGTATCCCGCTTTATTATTTTTACAAATAACTCAAGGCACCAAATATATCCATCACATCTTCTTCCTCCTAGGTTTCCTATCCTCCTCATCATAACCCTGTGAGGTAACTTGGGCTGAAAGAGAGTGACTGGTCCAAAGTAACTCAGCTGGTTTCATGGCTGAGGCAGGACTAGAATTCACCGTCTCTTGGTGACTGTCCCAAAGTCACCAAATCACCTTTCGTGACTAAGGCAGGACTAGAACTCACTGTCTCCAGCTAGCTTTCATGACTAAGGTGGAATGTGAGCTCATGATCTTCTACTTTCTAGCCTGGTGCCTTAATTACTAGACCAAACTAGCAAATTGCTTATCCTCAGTCACCAAATAATGTATTTTACGTCATACCTTATCAAGAGTGATTTATGACTTAACATTACACTTGAAAAACCTACTATAGTTTTTTTTTAATAAACAATCATGAGTTAGCATAATATGTGAACCCAAACTCTGACTGGCAACATCTTTGTCACCTGCATTGTTTTAAGTAGATATATCAAGGATTAGTTTCTAAATGTTGACCTTATTTCTAATCCTAAATATAATTTTTTACTGCAATGTTTATTGTAACAAACCTATAATTTCCCTTTCCTTTTGCTTAGGTATATATGGAGTAGATTCACACATCTCATTAAATCTTTGAATGTATAAATTTATTATACTAGTTATCTTTTTTTTTTTTTGTAAAGAAGAGTCTGAAATTTGGTAGATTTTAGAATAACTACCTACTCAAAATATTTGGGAGAGGAATTGATTGCCCAGCCAAGATTTGCCTTTTCTCATAAGACACAAAGTGAAGACAATAAATGAATGTATAGATTACTCGGATTTCCTTCCAATCAGGATCTGATTATGTGCCAAGCAAGAGAAAATAATGCTTTATAGAAATATTAATATTTTTCTGTCAGATAATTTTAGAGCCATCAGTTATCATAACTAATGAAAGAAAGTGTTTCCTGTGTCATGGTTCCAAAAGAAGAATCTTCTTTATTCTACTCTTCCTCTTTTAAAGTGAGATGACTTATGGATGAATTGCCAATTTTTTTCAAAATCCTGCATATCTCAGGAAATTCAGAAGGCAGTGCCATCACAAAGCAATTAAATCAAATTCCTAGGAGCCGTGCCATATGTATGCATCCTGTATTCGTTCTTCTTCCTCATTTTCTGTATCTCATTGTACATTTGCTCAGCTGTTTCTGTTAGGATTCTCAATGGCTGTTTTCTATTTTTCTATTCCTACACCAAGGTGTAATTGATTTCTGAAACACCCAAAGTAATAGAAAGATAGAATCTGCAAAACTCAAGATTACCTTGAGCTTCTCCTTAAGCAGTTTCTAAGAAAGAGCAGCTTTTTTACATTTTGTTATTCTTAGCTCTTAGTTTTCCCTGCAAGATAGCAAAGCAATTTCTACCCTTCCCTCACAGCAAAGTTTCTCTCTTGGCTGCATTACTTACACATCCTGGAACTCCTCCAGAGATTTCTGTGGTGTAAAGACATTTAATAAACTGATAATCTGAAACACAACAAGAGACAAAAGGGACACAAAAGAATAATTAAATATTAGTAGTTGAACAGGTTAACCCAGACTGCCTCACTGTTTCCAGTTTTCACTACCCTACGCAGTAAAAAGAAAGGGAAAAACTTTGTACAAAATTCAACGATGTTTTCTTCCTAGCTAAGAGTTCTGTGGCTACATTTTCAGCTTCACTGGAAGGACAGGTACAATTTGCAAAACCATGAAACATCTCTGAAATTTTAAAGATGGATCAGAAGCTTAGAGGAAACAGAGAACTTTCGAGGAATGGCAGCTTGCCTATTAAAACAAAAGGGTCATTGCTAAACTATTGACTTCTACTGCAGTTACTAATTTAGCTGCCACTATAAATCGGATTTTGCTGTTACTGCCACTTTTGAATTCCTATGTTTAGCTAGGTAGGATGTATCTAGAAAAATTGAAGGATGTACTCAACAAATGTAAATTGAAAGCCTAAATCTGCAGGGGTATATCTTTCCATTTTGCTGTCAGCCAAATTTGTTGTCAGAGAGGTCTTGAAAGTTATCATTAGCAGCTGATATTAAAGATTGGATGCTATGGATATGTGACAATTTGTTTCTTCCACTGTCAAGTTAAATTTGGGGATGAAGTTGATAAAGTGCTAATAGTATGCTGTACAACTATAGAGTGAAATTGAGATTCAGGTACTTAAATGACACCACAAGCTCAAACTAGAGAATTTGACAGCAGTTCAGAAAATAAAGTTCACATAATTATGTTTATTTTACTTTTGTTCTTCTTCTTTAAGACTGCTAATTTTGATATTCTGATTATACAGTATATATTCCTCCTTCTGTCCTGGTATTTAATTTCTATTTGAACTGGACAGATGTTTAGTTGTGATTCTTTCAATTAATTGTTTACAGGGCTCCTAATTTAGGCTTTGGGACTAAGAGTTTATGGGCCATTTTCTAAATTGGACAAATTTACTTTCATTAAAAGTGATCTCCTCTCTCCTTTGGCAGATATTTTTAATGTGGCCATATGAAAATGGAATTTTTCTTCAATAATGTGTGGGTGTGCTACAATATTGTCATGTATTAATTTAGACATGTTAGTTATGTTTTGTTCTGTTGTTACTAGTAGATAGAACCCTGAAAGATACTCAGTATTTTCTCATAGGGGGAACTGGCAGCCTATTACTGAAGCAAAAAAGCACTTAAAAACTGAAAGGTTTTGAAGAAAGATTCCTCGTCCAGAAAAAAGGGAATGAGAGCCAGAGGAGGTATAATGGCTAGAAAACCAAAAGGAATTATATAGAGCATTGAATGTTAAAACATAATTATTTTTCCAAGATGCCCAGGTCAAGACATCTGAAGTGGACCAAGAAGGCTGTTGATGGACAAATCATCCTGCACCAATGGCATCCATGAAATATGGATTTGGGGGGTGGGAGAGAGAGAGAGAGAGAGAAAATTCTGCCAGAGACAGAAAGCCACCAGTATGGATAGCCCATTACTTATCTCTAAGAAGGAAGGGAATTTAGACACAGAAACGGCCATGAATTTATATTTAGTCAACACTGTAGGCTGCATGCCTATGGAGTAGAAAAGTAGGAAATTTTAAAATGCTTAGCCTAGCCAGAATTAAACCTTTAGTTCAGGTTGAAAGAAGAAATATCGAGGAAAGAAATTTGACCTATCTAGCTATAAATAAATCTCAATTCCAGTGCTTGCATACCAAAATGGAAATGAAAAAAACTTGCTTTCCAATGCTAATACATAGGGGAAAAAAATGTAAGTGGTGTCATCTATGCTTGGATTAAAACCCATGAAGCCACAAATGCATATGACAACCTCTTTTTCTAGAATGGTCTAGAACAGAGTGCTGTTTGGACCTTCCAATAGAAAGTTGTCCTAACTGGCAACTTCCCTAGTCAAAGAGGTGAAGAACAGATGCTGAATCGAAAGGAATCACATTTCAGATTTGAGGCAGGTAAAGTTTACTTTCAAAATCCGAATTCAATCTGATAAATTGGATTTTGAATTCGAATGGTAACATTTACAATTGTTTAGGATGATGGGCATACAATATGTTTTTTTCCTGTATGCTGTATCTCGGGCCAGTAATTTTACACCTTGCCACAATGAAAATAGCAATTTGGCCCATGAGCCAGAAAATTATTAGGGATATGCATGCTTTAAAAACAATTTGGAAGAACAACTTTGGACCTTACGCAAGCATAGCATCTCTCTGCAGTTTATGAAGGCAGGCACATCTTTTTTCTATGAACTGAAGAGTGCCTTAAAGATTTGATTAATTCTTCCTCAAAAAGAAAAAAGTATTTGCCAACATTAATGTAGATAGGTACTCTGTTCATGTGTACACAGGGTTTGAAATGTTTCTTCCAAATGGTTTTCCAATTACGCAGGGCCCTAAAACTGCCTCTTGACACTAGCTTGATAGAACCTAGAACGTGGGTTAATAGGGTTAGAAGGGACCTTGGAGGCCTTCTATTACAACACCCTGCTCTAGCTGAAGACCCTATATCATTCCAGATAAATGACTGTCCAGTTTCTTCTTGAAAACCTTTAGTGATGGAGCACAACTTCTGGAGGTAAGATACACTGATTAATTGTTCCCACTGTCAGAAAATTTCTCCTTAGTTCTAGGTTGAATCTCTCTTTAGTGATCTTCCACCTGTGACTTCTTGTCCTGTCCTCAGGAACTTTGGAGACTAGGTTGTCTTCTTCTTCTTTATGACATCCTTCAAGGACCGGAAGACAGCTATCACATCACCCCTATTCCTTCTCTTTGTCAGACTAGACATACCTGGTTCCCCGAGTATTCATTGCTTCTAAATTTTGTAAAGGAGAGAGTTAAGGAGAATGGTTCAAATATTTTCCCACCTAATTGAAGACAGGATGTATTTCACAGCTGTTTTACTTCTCATGAATAACTTTTGTCCTTAATATTAATCCTGATTCTATTCAGTTGCTTTCCCTAGGAAGAAGGCAAGGACAAACCACTTCCAAAAACATTGCCCAGAAAACTGCAGGGACTAATTCAGGCAGTCACCAGGAGTCAACATAGGTTTTTCACTCTTCTCTAGAGAATTTCCATTAACTTTAAAGGGGAAAGAATCTCCATAAGGAAAGCATAATTGAATATGCTGCTCCATGGCTGTACTATAATACATTTTCTTCTTGCCACAAATAAAGTGTGTTTGTGTGGTGCCCTTTCCTAGACATCTGCTTTGGGAAGGGAATAAAGCATCTGTGATCACATCTGCATTTCAGCATTCTATCCAAATCTACGTGTTTGTTAATAGAATATTTTTTAAAAATTGCCATTTGCTGGCACACACGCCCTATCGGATTTTGCATTTAAAATAATGAAGGTTACACAGTCAACTTTGCAGCAACATGTTAGCATAATCTTTTTCACTTAGCAGTGTGAACTATACAGGCTTCTGAGTCCTTCCAGCAAAGGAATACTTACATTTTTGTGATTCACACACTTCATAAGAACTAGCTCCCTATATGCCCGCTTAGCATGTGTCTGATTTTGAAATGGCCTGCTGAGCTTCTTGATAGCCACATTTCTGTCCAGTACAGCATCATATGCAGCGCTAAAAAATAAAAGGAAAAGAAAATGACAATAGAAGAACCTATTAATTTGTAGCATTCCCATTCAAATATCATTGCCTGAGTTTTATTCACTTCCAATGTTTTTTTTTTCAAAAGAAAAGAAATAGAATTTTGCATTTCTTCAATAGTTCTACTTTCCTTCCAAGACTTATCCCAATTTATTTGAATAAATATGCATCAATACAGCTTAGAAAAACACACCGAGTGACTACAATTGAGGCTGGCAACTCAGTTGTTAAGCTAAGCTAAGTGAAAAGAGGTGTTAGGTGAGCAGAAGCTGAGGCGAGTGATGGGAACTCACCCTGCCCACACAGTGCTAGGACTCGAACCGCTGGAGTAAAGACTATCTCCAGCATCATTAAGTTCAGTGGCTTAATGATGCTGGAGATGATCTTTGCTCCAGCGGTTCGAGTCCTAGCACTGTGTGGCAGGGTGAGCTCCCATCACTCGCCTCAGCTTCTGCCCACCTAGCAGTTTGAAAGCATGTTATGTGCAAGTAGATAAATAGGCACCACCTCAGTGGAGAGATGAGTTGGTGTTTTGTGCAGCCAGTCAGATTCCTGCTGGCTTTGAACCTTCCTGGTTGCGACTCCCGTTTGTGAGGCGACTCTGGGGGAAGGAAAGGGGCCTTGGATGACACTGCATGAAGAGCCAGTCATCTTTCTTTCTGGTGCAGGGGTAGGCAACCTTGGCTCTTTTATGACTCGTGGACTTCAACTCCCAGAATTCCTCAGCCAGCAAAGCCAGTTGAAGTCCACGAGTCATAAAAGAGCCAAGGTTGCCTACCCCTGTTCTGGTGCGAATCTAGCTTGTCCTCTTGTGGCACATCTTGAGAAGCACACAAGTGTGTACCTGACAGAGCTGGTAAACAGGCAGCCAAACTACTACTCTACAATAGCACTGTAGTCTCCTGGCTAATGTAACAATGCCATATGCTAATAATAATAATAATAAGCGAAAAACCACATGACCCACACCGTGCATACAATTTTATTTCAGCTATTTATTTATTTTACTGCATCAGAAGTCTGGGACGTGAAAGAACTAGGTGAATCCAAACAACAAGTAAGATTTCTGAAACTCAGCTTAAGAGGAAGCCAGGTACTTGCCTGCCTTTTTGAATGCTTACCTTGGCAGTGGGATGATTACCAAAAAGAGAATCAATGGTTGAATTTACAGTGATTGGAGAGATGTACATTGATTGACAGAGGTTGTGAAGGACATAAGTTACTTTTTCATCACTGTCATAACTGTGAACAGGCACTGTCCAAGGCAATCACTAAATGAGGACTACCTGCATGCTTGGTAATTATTTATCCTGTCCATTAATTGAATTCAATTTATTCCAATGTAATTTAATTTATAATGTATATAGGCCAGTGGTGGCGAACCTATGGCACGGGTGCCAGAGGCGGCACTCAGAGCCCTCTCTGTGGGCACGCGCACCATTGCCCCAGTCCTAGGCCTTCAGCTGGGTTTTATAAAACCTTTTTGCTTTAGGCCTCTGCCGCCGTGTGCAAAAAAAAAAAAGGTTCAATCAATCAGTCAATTTCAACTTCTCGCAGGAAAAAAAAAATCTTGCAAAGTTGGAATTGATTGATTGAACTTTTTAGTCCCATCTAGTCTACCATTACCACAGCAGCCACGCCCAGCCAATGGGCCACGCCCAGCCAATGGGTCACACCCACCCGGCACCCGACAATGCATAAGTGGGTTTTGGGTTGCAGTTTGGGCACTCGGTCTTTAAAAGGTTCGCCATCACTGATATAGGCTCACTGACCTATATTCTCATCTATATTAATCTACAATGAATTGTGTGCTTGGCCAAACTCTGATCTGAACTGGATTCATTCTTGGAATAAAGAACATAGTCTGTCTCTATTCACTCCTCCCAACCTATAAAAGGAATTCATTCTTTTATTCTGGGAATTGAAGTCTGATAAAATTAGAGGGCAATAGATCAGGAAAGGCTGTTGAGCGTTCCTAACAGCAGTACTGTTTCAGTGCAGTTTATAAAGAGACTTCTAAGAGGGAACAAGAAATAAACATATTTTTAGAAAATGTCTTATTTATTTGACTTGTTTGCCGTTCACTCGCCTAGAGGCTACTCTGACTAGTATTAATAGTACTCTTAATCTACTAATTAATACTATTAGGGTACTATTATAAAACTAATAACCAAAACTAAAATGCCTCTTCCTTTGATGTTATTTCTAATTTCATCTAATAATAGTATCACTGGGTTAAACTGCTTTTGCACAGTTTCAGGAAATGCATGGATAAACCTGAAATTTTATGTTTGAAAAATGGAATGCTGGGTCTATACAGTAGTAATTTCAGAACACTGACCCCACCACCACCCCCACCACCAAATAATAATAATAGAATGAGGATAAAGATTTATTTATCTAGAAAGATTTACTTAACTAGAAAATCACAGCTGATTGATTTATTTCTTACCTTTTCACAGAAGATATAATGTTGAAAAGAGCGTATCATCTATGTTTAATAATTTATTTATGCCAGGAAAAAACTGGGGGAGGGCGAGAGAGAAATAAGAATTCCCAGTTCTATTTATTAAAGGGAAGTGCCATTCAGAAAGAGAGACTGTAAGAAACTTATGTCTCCATCCCCAGCTTGTAAGATAGTGGACTGGTAGACACTTTAATCTATATTTCAGAGGTATAATCATCATACATTTCAGCAGCATAATAATCCGCTATTGTTAGTGACTTTTAACCTCAATTCTCACAGGAGATATTCAAGCTTTCCTTTTCTCCTTGGAAAAGGAGAGGCTCATTTTTCCAGAATTCCCTTTAGTCTCCTTAGAACTGTGACAATATAAAGGTTCAATAATTTGGCAGGGAAAGAAAAAGCCTCTAGAGAGTCTAGCACTTATTGGCTCGCTTGTTCTGTTAATGTGTGGCTAACATTCTTCATGAATGTTGCATCTGACGCACAAGAAATAAGGGTAAACAAGACCCTCCACATGGCCCCCTCCTCATATCAGCTTGTTTCAATCAAAAGCAGCTATGCCAAAGGCTGGGAACTGCAGATCAACAACAAGCAGCACAGGCAGACTGAATTCTCTGACCTTTTCTATCAAATTGAATATTTCAATCATGGAGAACATCATAATTTCAAGCAAAGGTTGCAGCCATGTTCCCAGATAGATATCACTTAAAGATGCATAATACAGTGCTCTGAGCTTACATAAATCAAATGTAATATAGCTGTAGCACATCTCCCCACCTACCATTCATTTCCAGTTGTAATGAAAAAAACAAAACTTATTAATTCAGCAATGGAGCAAAGATTTTATTTGTTCATCCTCATGGCCACATTTTTTTAAAGCAGGAAAAGCTAAAAGAAAGATGTATGTCATCAATAAGCAGAGGATCGAGCTCTTCTTTCTGTGTCAAATATATTTTCAAGGTCAAAATAGTTTCAGTAGTAACAATTCCATGGGGTTTATTCTTACATAGAAACAGCCTATTTATTTACCTAATGCATAGGGAACAGGGTGCTACAAGTCTTATTCTCCACTCCCCCCAACAGCTTATCTTCTAGTAATTTACTGACATAAAATACTGCTTTATATTAGATTAGGCTAGTTTTGTTTCTTTTGCCAGAATTAAAGACAAAAGTCTTTGCGTTATCTATGTCAGGCTCAAGGAAATTAGGCTAAAGAATGACAGGAGGAGTTATTTCAGCAAGTTATTTTCTTTATTGCTGCTCACTTATACACAGGAATCTTGCCAGACTAAAGCACAAATCTGCATAGCTATTAGATATACCTGTGAAAAGCTAGAGAGGGTCTGCCTTGTCTCTCTTCCTGCACACCAAGTTTCTAAGTTGATTTGCTTCTTTGGGTGGTTAAGAGGTATGATAGATAGATAGATAGATAGATAGATAGATAGATAGATAGATAGATAGATAGATAGATAGATAGATAGATAGATAGATAGATAGATAGATAGATAGATAGATAGATAGATAGATAGATAGATAGATTCTGTACAGTGAAACTTCGGTACTCATTGGTAATTTGTTCTGGAAGATGTGACAAATATTAAAACCAACAGGTACTGAGAAAACCACATGATTTTTGGTCAGAAGAAATAGTGTGGCACAAAGCAGCTGACATCAGCAAGTTTTTCCTCATGTGTCCACTACCAAAAGAAAGATGAGTGCCGGGGCAAGATTTCTGCTTCAAAACCCGTCAAATACCGAATTCGACAGGTTTTAAGCAATCGAATGTCGAGGTAGGACTGTGCTATGTTCCACCACAATTTGCTACTGTTTCTTTTCACTGGAAATGCTAGGGGACCATCAACTTTCTGGCTTCAGAGCCAGTGCTCTGCCATGAACATTGGTCATTCCCCATGACCTCTTTCTCCCCACACAAACATGTTCACATACGCTATAAAACAAGAAAGTAAATTTAAACAATCGAAAAGCACTCCGCTGCAAGTAGGTAAACCACTGACAGGCTTAAGGCTGGAGTGTTCCTGCACAGCTCACTTTTGGCGTGCTAGCATTACTTCTTTTTCGACTTCTTGACTCTTTCTCGCTGATTTATGTTGGTTCTGCTGCAGTTGGCATGAAAGCTACCGGGGAAATCTTCTGCCCAACACCCTCAGATGCCTGCTGTGTAACAACATGTCTTAAAGCAAGTATCAGAAATCAAATGACAATGGCAATAGAAAATCAGTAGGGACCCATAATGAAAACTGGCATCTCCTGCTGGCAACTTATTCTCCCTCCTAGCATTCAGATAGAAATGCACATAAACATGCCTTAATTTTGGAGATTATTTTTTTGTCTGATTCTTTCCTCTTCAGACCATCTGCTAGATTGTGTTGATAGTCTAATTTAGCAAATATTTTTTATACCAAAATTCAGAAGATAAATTCATGAAGGCAGTCATTCAAAGTTACAATGGAACTGAAAAAAGTGACTTATGACTAGTCCTCACATT